CTAAGTCTTCAGGGCTGCCTGGGACAAAGTGCAGAAAAGCATCTTCCCACAGATCACCCAAGAACAATTCTTTGAGAAAGCAGTAATCTACCAAGCTAAAAAAAAAAAAAAAAAAAAAAAAAAAAAAGATTCTCTCTATATTTACCACACATTCTACTACAGATCTTTTTCTTCAGCTATAGCATTTAGTTCAGTTCCATGTCAACCAATGCTAATCCAAGAACTAAAAAAAGCAGCCTTTTTGTTTTCCTGCTTCAGGATTAAGTTTGCATTTGATAGTGGGCATTTAATCTTTCAGACAGTTTATAGCATCCTGATGATGTCATCTTATCTGGATGATTAAAGACAGATTTAGACTTCCAGTCAGGGAAAACATTCAGTCTCAAAGGGAGCTTTAATCACAATGATTGCTTGCTATGTTGAAATCACCCCAGCAAACAGCATTGCTGACCTTCCCTCTGCAGGAAATTCAAGCTTCTGTCAATCGGTCAGTCAGGATTACTACCGTTTCACACCAGATTGGGATTGAATTTGGACTTCCCAGAGCAAAGATACAAGAAAACTCATTTGTGCAAGTAGAATATTGCAGATACCTATTGTTTGGGTTTGTTTTCCTAAATTGCCTTTAAAGATACCTTGGGTCATTCCAATCACTGTCTGAAGCCACTGTCTCCTCTGATTAATCACATATACAATTACTGTATAGGGTTTTTTTCTTTTGGGATCCTTATAAATCAGGCATCAGCCACTGTCAGACTAATGCTGCTGCCTTCTTCCTTCAACTCACTGTCAAATAAAAATAAAAATATAGTCCCCTCCCAAGGTACTTCCCCTGAGATAGGCAAGTCTCAACTGAGAGTATTTTTCAAACGCACAAACCAAGTAAGGCTTTTATCCCTTGAAAATTGCCCATTTGAGACAATCTCTTCATTCCAAAAATGTCTTATCTTCTGGCTGAAGTTCTAAAGTAATCAACATTAATGCCACAGAATAAGAGACGGGAATAAAGGCAGCTGACTGAAGGTTTGACATAAAAATAAAGTGTTACAGTTTTATTTTCTGAAGTCCAAATCCTTTGATATTAAAACCAACAGCTATTTTCCCATTGACTTTAAGGCTAAATTATACAAATAGAAATGTGCCATCATTTATATGCATTTAAAAAAAATACCTCTTTTTGAGGCCAATTATTGCAATAGCAATTTTAATACTGACTAAAATCTTGAATTACTCTGAACATATAAAGCATTTATTACATGACAAGAGTATGCAAGAATAAGAAAGACCCACAGATGTGGCACTTAGGGACACAGGTCAGTGTGGACTCGGCAGTGCTGGGTTAACAGCTGGATTTGATGAACTTAAGAGCTCTATTTCAACCTAAATGATTCCATGTTTCTATGAGAACTGGGTAATACAGACTTCTAAAACCCCCTATGAAACATTAAGACTAATTTTTGTGAAGCACTTCATCACCTCTGAGACATTATTGTGTCTCACAAAATGTGCAGATTGGAGCAGTCTTTACAGTTTATCTTGTTCCACCTCTGCTCCTGGGAGTGATGATTTTTTTTTGTGTTTGCCATTCTACTTCAAAGTTATTAAATCAACAGGACTGTCAATCTGCACGTGAAGGTTTATCTACCATTGTAACTGACATCCCACCAGTATTTCTTCCTCCAACACTGTTTTTTTCCAACTCTTTACCAAAATAAACTTTGAAACTTTATCAGCTGAACATTGAAAGGCTGTTAAAAATTAAAAATATCTAAATTCTATAGAAAGTGTTTTTATAGATGGATAGGTAGAAGACTTGCATGCAGCAAGTTGCTTGGAGTTGTAGCTATTCTGGCCATCTTTCAATTTTTCTTCATTAAAATTGGAAGATGTTTGCCGTAATTAACATTCAAAACTTTAAATCCCTGAGTTAAAGCAGAAATAAATGAATTGGCACTTAATACATTCTTCTTTCCACTCTGCCTCATCCACCTAGCTTGAAAGGTTGGTGTTCTGCCACCTGATATTCCAGTGCACAGCGACATCATCTCTCCCTTTCTACTTTTTTCCCTTTGCAGACACAGTTCATACCATGGAGCTCTGATGCTGCAACATTTCTGGCCCAAAACAGACTTCGAAAGGCATCCCAGTACCTAATGCTTTTTTTGAATGCTTTGAGTTTCTGAAAAATAGTTTAATGTAAAGCACTGCAGCAAATCACGGCTTGCTCCATTTTTTCACAGGGATCAAGCTGACTGTTCTCAAAGTTCCTGCATATTTTAGCACTTGTGTCTCCTCAACCACCACAGAAAGAACAGGTCACCAGGAGCTCCAGCAGGCGAGAGTTTCTCAAAATGAAATGGAACAATAATCCTACCAGACATCATAGTTGGTGTTTACAATAGACTACATACTACATCTTTTCAAACTGCAATTAATAATAAAAGAACTTACCAGACAAAAGTCTTCCTCCTTTTCAGGAAGCTTTTCAGATTATGAAATTGCACCATTTACCTCTAGTCACTGTGTAGATCTGCCCAATATCATAGAAACACCATAGGATTTTAATTTAGACCATACTAAAATGGAATAAAATTATTTTATTGCTTCAGAACTCTCATCTAAATTTCATTTAAGCTTGTTAGTATGAAAGTGTACACACACAGCCTCAAGCTCCTGCTTCCTATCTTCACTGCAGACCAGTTGGTATCTCTGCATTTTGCTAAGACCTCCCATCACCCTACTTAATCAGGCAGAAATACAGTCAATTGCTTTCTAGAGAGATCTGAGACCAGCACATCATTTTCTTCCATGTCTTTGCCTATTTTGACACTGAAATCACACAAATTCACTACTCCTACCCTTGCAGCACTGCCCCTCTGAGGTTTTCCATTTATTCTTCCAGACCTTCCCCTGACATATTACGAATGTTTTCTGTCCTTCCACGCTTCCCAGAAATAAAAAGTGTAAAGCTCTCCTTCTTTGTCCTCTCCCTCTTCTTACCCCAGACCAATTATTTGATAGGCAAGATCAAGCATATGCAGGGTGAGAGAATTTGTCTCCTAAAAATGGATGGAATGTGGTCAGTTAATATCCTCACCTTCTTTTTTGCTTTCAGCTCAATCCAACTGATTCTGGGTTTTTCTCCACAGAAAAACAAGTCTTCTTTCCTCAGCTCTTCTAATATGGCCCAAATAGCTCCTCTGTAGGTTTGACCCAATGTCATCCTCTACCAACTAAAGCTAAGAGTAAGTTAAGGAGGATGTAAGATGGACTGGGTATTCAAGCAGTAGGGTAACGCTCCCTCCCTTGAGCCATCCCACAGAAAGGCACAGGATTAGCTTTGGCACTTACACCACAGGAGCAGCAGCACTGAATTTGAACCACTGCCATCCAGAAGAAGCCAAATGCAGCAACCAGGAGCAACTTCTGAGGGAGCAGCAACACTAAGAATGATTCTTCTGCTGAAATAGTTGTTGGCTGGTAGAATTCATCATGATGTGATACATGGAAAAAAGGCAGAAAAACTGCTCAATAATGATTCCTGAGACACGAGAGAGACTCTTATTGTTTTTCTTTTTTTTTTTTTTTTTTTTTTACAAGCCTGTGATGCTTTGTAGGTCAGTTACCAGCTTCTTGTAACAACCTACACTCTTCCAAGTTGTACATGTGCTTAAGAGCTAGAAGAAAACACCTAAAAAGCCCTTACAGCTCATCTAAGCTCTGTATCATATATTAAACAATGACACCTAGCTTTTACAAGATCAGAAGCAAGTACTGCAGAACACTACAGATCCCCCTTGTTTCTTCTAAGAAGGAAAGTTTTCCGTATTCTGTACATCTGAAGATAGTTTGACCTTCCCAGAGTGCTCTGGTGCTGTCATAGAGAAAAAGAATTTCACTAGCAAAATACCTAGGGAAGCCCCCCTTCATGTAATCTGTCTGAAGGTTTTCAAGGACTTGGAAAGTTCACATTAACCTCTGGCTAAAAAAATGTACTGTGACACAGGAAAAAAAAATTATTAAGTGTGTTCTTCTGAGGGTCTATCTGACAGACACTTTTGTGCCACTCTTACAGTGTTCAGTGTAATCACATATCACAGAAACTGATGTCCCAATTAAGAGATCAAATCACAGAAAACTATTCATGCAGAAAGTTAGTGTCCAGAAAGAAACATCAATAAACTTGTACTTGCCAAATGCTCAGACAACAGGCAAAGAAATATGCTCTTTTACTGCTGGCTGCCAAGCTTGACATTGTCTTCAAAGATACTACTAGCATTGTAATAAATCTACATTTTTCATTTTTGGATCTGCATTTTTCTCACATAAGTTTATAACAACTTGCATTTCTGTAATGTAGCTCCACTGTAAGTTTTCTCCAAAGCATCTTTTCTACTTTTTACTGCCAATATTCTCACTGAAGATGATTTTTTTTCTAGTTTCTCTTTAGCACACCTTAAGGAGAAGTTAACAGCTGACTTCACCCAGACCACGCTATAAAACAAAATTCATTATGTTGGGTAATTGCTTCTGATTCTTTGGTACCATTGAAAGTTAGAAAAAAACAATTAAGTTATCCACTAACAATTCTCTGCTTAGCCTCTATTATAGTTACTATCAGTAGTATTTCCCACATTATGAGAGCTGCAAGTGTGTATGAGTTAAGCAAACGTAACCATGTCTGAGCACATTCATTAGCAAATCACCAAAACAGATAAAACACTAACACATTTCTTACGTTTGAACTCAGCCAGAAAGCCATTAAGCTCTGCCTTAGTGTAGCCATACAACTACAGCACTGAACATCAGAAACGAGCACAAAATACTATATGTAAATGCATGGCATGTGTTTCAAAACAAAGTAACAAACCTAAGCATCTATCTCACAGAAGTTCAGGATCCCTCCTTTCAAGTTGTTTTTAAATATTCCTTGGTCTAAAGTTGCATTTTTTAAATGTCCTCTTTCTCCTATACAGCAAAAGACTCCACAACAATAGCTGTTTATACCACCCTTTTTATTTTTCAGTCAGAAATACATTTTCATTGGGTGTTTCAATAACAAGTGGTGTTTACTCCTTAAACAAATCCCCATCTCTTTGGCATCTGACCATACTCTCTTTTTCAAACTAAAGACTATATAGGAAGACTTTACTTTCAAGGTCATTGTTCAATACATTAAATTTACACAGGTATAGTTAACTTTCAAAAATACACATTGTTTTTTGTAACGTTTCTAACAAACCTAAACAAAAGATAACCCAACCACAAAATGCTCACTACTGGGCTGCCTTCATTTAAAACTTTGGAGTGAGTGACAGAATTAGAACTTTTCATTTTCCATAGCACATGCACTAACTAGTGCTTTCTATTCATTCTGAGTGATAAGCAAACAAACAAAACAAATCTTAATTCTATCAGAAACAACTGATCAAATAATTTACATTTAAAATGAGCATGACATTACTTTTAACTTCTGCAGAGGTCATCAGCAAAAATCAAGTTGCACACTCCTTTAGTAACAGAATGCATCTAAAAAAAAAAGTATGAAAACCATTTTTTGTTTCTAAATGTTAAGTTATTAAAATGTTTCAAATACACCTAGAAATACAGCTGTTGAAACCTGCGTTTGATGTTATGTTTGGATAAAAATTCATTAAGTAACAAAAGTAAGCCAATGTATTCAACCTACTCTGTTGAATAATCCAGGATCATCTCTTCAATGCTGATATAGAAATACTTCATTTGCACCCTGCCAAATAAAATCAGCCCTCCAGATCCCAAGTGTTCAGTGCTTCAAGTCAAGAGAATTTCCAAATCTACTCTGAAGTTATTTGACACCTTCTGCTACTATACATGGTACAGAAATCATAAATTAAACCCAAAAACATTACTGACATACCAGTGCAGACATTCCAATTTGTCTCTCAAGACAATGTAAAAAATAAAATCAACAATAACAATAAAATCTTCACTCCTCAAAAGATTTGCTTTAAAAAACTCACATACTTATTCTGAACATGTTTCATAGGAAAGGCAAAGCAATTGCTTCCATGCAGAAATTGAAAAAGTAATTTAATAGGATTCAAGTAGCAAAGGTTTGCTTTATAAGCAAATCTCACCTTCATCCCTAGCGTAAGTACAGTACAAAAATGATGGAACTGGATTGTTTAAACAGAAAGTGATTTATTCAGTCACCTTCCATGCTGTCAAAACCCATTCATTTTCCTACTGAATACAGAAACAAAAAGTAAAACCAAAGAACCTCCTAAACTTGAGTACTTATCCAAGAGCAGTTTCTAACATCAAGCCAAAATTAGCAACAACCAAGCAGACATCACCATTTTTTCAGTGTTAGATTACCGTAAATAGTAGATCTAGCTGTACAAAAAAAAAAAAAAACCAAACCAAACTCAAAAATCAAAAGCTTTTTTTTTTTTTGTTAAAATGAGTCCAAAGAAATATCCACTGATCGCAGTCAAATTTGCACCAGAAGCTGCTTGCTCAGAAAAGATTCCTCCCTCTGAGTATTTGTAACACATTGCATTGCCAAGACTCTATTCAAATAAATTACTTTCTGGTAACATTTAGCTGATACAACCACCTACAATGTGGACAGTCATGTACACAGTACAACAGTGGATTTTTGCAGCAACAGAGGAAGGATCAGAAATCATTTCTAAGTTCAAAATAACAGCTCATGTGCTATTTCTTGCAAACATACGGTCCCCTCTAAGGGTGAGGTGTTGGAGCTGGTATTGTAGCACTTCTGTGTCAGCAGGTTCCTTAATGCTCATTTTGTCTAAATTGAGGTAGTCCAGGGATTTTGAATGAGCCCTTTTACCTTTCAAAAGGCAGAGAGGCAGGGGACCATGAAGTGCCTTGTAAGGTTCATATGGTAAAGCTTTATTGCATTTATCCCCTGAGCTGGGCATCCGCCTCCTCCTCCTCCCATTTACTGCTGGGATCTCATATGGCTGGTAGTACCTACTTCTGGTTTTGTACAAACGGGAGGAGCGCGCAAGTCCTGGATCCAGCTGCTTGGAGCGCAAGTTCGGCCCAGATTCTCCTTTGTTCTCTTCAGCTCCTGTACATTTCTGGGCTAATTTTAGCAGCTCCTCTCCAGTTGTGAAGCCCACCAGGTAGTTAGAATCCATGTGGAGAATCTGGTATCCCGCAACTGTCCGCCGCATGGGCGAGCAGGGGGTACTGGAACAGCGGGGCTTTTCAGCTTCCATCCTGCCTGCAGAGCCCACCTCTGCAAGAGGCACAGGGAGGGTGGACAAGGCAGTTCTGGACTCTCCATTTATGTCAACTTCCATTTTAAACACAAGGCTATCCTCCTAAAAATAAAACAGAGCTTGGTCAGAAAATAGAGCCTTTATGAAACACAGGGAGCTGAGAGAGGATCGCAGAAATGGGATTTTGTATCACCCAGACCAGTACTTCTCTGTTCAGCCTTGACTTATGCTCTGCAGGTGTCATATTAATAGAAATATCACCAACATCTGTCTTTTAAGATTATCTTGTGTGGGTTTTTTAGTAAAAGATATCTTAAAACACTTAGATTCTTAGCCACTAAAAACATTTGAATAGTACTGTACACAAAAAAAAAAGAAAAAAAGAAAAAGCATTTTTCAAGTCCATTTTTTCAACTTTTTAGTTCATTTATTCCTTACAGTGACTCACCTCTGTGGGCATCTACAAGCATTAGCACAGCCACAGCAACTTCTGCCATATTTACAGTGTATTTTTTCTACTGGCAATAATCTCATTAACCAATGTTTTCCAAAAATGTGTCTGACAGCTGACACCTCATTCAGGCATGACTGATCTACTGAGTGTACTGCACTGCTTCCATCTGCCAGATGTGAAGACAACTTGTTTCAGATTCAGAGAATGGCATCATGGCTGTTCAACATCTGTCTGAACAGGTCATCAGCAATCCTCCCCCACCCCAAGAAAACCCATATATCATCTCATTCACGATCAACCAAACACACACTTAAATTCTAATGAGATTCCAATGTATTTCTAACAAAGTATACTCTGTTTAGTAAATATAGGATTAGATTCTTATAAGCATCCTAAGAATAATCAGTATTTGTTTTTCTTATTTTTTTTTGCAAACAGACTATTTTGCCCCGACCTTTCTTCCCTTAAAATTATTCTAGATACTTTGTTTGGTGCCCTTCTAGATTCAAGTGCTTACCACAAGCCATTACCACCTCTAACATGGAAAGATGTGGTCACAATCACAGCAAGTATACACCAGTACACTCCAGAACACAGGAAAGCCTTCTTTTCACTTCTTTATTTTCAGCATCATCTAAACCATCTCAGTGACACAGCTACTTCACAAAACAGAAAGGTCATATTTTTTTCCAAATCCATGTTTTCTTCGTTTCTTCAGCCTCACCTTTTCTCTGAACAGAATCTAGTGGCTCTCTAGTCAGTACAGTTCACAAAAAAATTCAACATAGCTATGTCATGTTTAAAGGCAATGAAACTCAAAGAAAGTAAATTTACTATCCAAGTATCAAGCAGAAACAAGTCTGAAATTCATTTTACATGACCATAAACCACATTCAAAAGCTCAATAATGCTTCACAAATGAAACTGATTTAAAACTTGCTATCAATAATTTTTAAACTGCTACTTGCTGCCCTTCTGAGGCTTAGGAGGTCACAGGCCAAGTAGCAAAAAGGCAACAAAAAAGGAAATACTTTTCTTCTGCAATTAGACGCAAAGATCACTTGGCAAAAGAAAATATTCTAGCCTTATGAAAAATTTGTTTCTGTTCAGAGCATGGGAAGGAGCAGTTCAAGTAATGTTCCCACCTCTTCTTCCCTGCTTAGTCTCATATAAACCTGCTGCCCCCTATGCTAATAAACCAGGAGCAAACAAAATCTCCATAGTTCTGCCGAAGAGGATTTTATTTGCCATTAACAAACTTCTATTATGGCAACACTGTTAGTAATGTTCCTTCAGTCTTAAGTGTCTTTTCATTCTCACAATCGTGGTCTGCTTAGGATTCTTCATTACCAGTTTTATGTAGCATAACTTTTACAGATACACTTCATCAGTGAGCTCTTAAGCATTTGGGGGTTGGACTAGATGATCTTCAGAGTTCCCTTCCAACTGTAACAACTCTGGGATTCTGTGAATGAAACAATACAGCTAATACAGCAAAAGCTAAATAAAGAATTAAAATAACAAACACTGAAATTTCTTACTGAAAAAAGTCCACACTAAACTCAATAATGTTGCCAATTAAACTTAAATGAATTCAATGTATATTTATGGAGTCAATTAACACTTTCAGAATAGAAGCAGTTGTTGTTTCCTCCTTTAGCACCACGCCAAGCAATGAGACAACAAATTTGATGAGGTTTCAGCCACTGAGTCAAATATATTAATGGCAATTTCTTAAGTAGAAATGCACCAGCAGCAACCATAATTACTGGAGACATAGCTTAAAAATTTCTCATTAAAACTTTCTGCTATCCTGTGGTTTTAGCCAAGAAACCCTAAGTATCTGTTCTCGCTTGTTTAATTCCCAGTTTTTACCCTGCAGCTTAGTAATCTTTCCAGGAACCTTCCAGAAAGACTAAACTTGTTCTGCTACAAGAAACAGAAATTATGCTACAAAACACTATAAATAAAATAGTCATACAGCAAGGTTGGAAATTAATCATATTATCTAGTCACACATAAACAGGAAAACCAACAAAAAAACCCCCCAAAACAAATGAACAATCACCTGCAACAGCCCTAAAGAAAGGGAAGGAGGAAGAAATGTATTCATGCACTTTCTGAGTTAAAAAAGCCTTGAGAACCTGAAAGCAACATGAAGGAACTTCTCAGAACACACCTTTCAAAATTCATTTACCTCTGCTTGAAACATGGCGGGGGAGGGGGGTGGTGTTGGTAACAGAAAACAATTTGGAAAAGTAACCAAGCAGGAGAGGAAGGAGTCAGCAGCTCACTGCCCAACTATTACCCCTCACTGGCCAAACCCAGTACAAACCAAACTCAGAGCACAGAAGCCTTCGAGTGAGAAAGCTCCAGCCTGTTCTTCCAGCCTGAAACTGCAGAACTCATGTTTCTGAGCTCCAGTTAGAAGAACGGCCCTAAACCCAAGAAATCTGTCAGACACTCAAAAGCAACAACAGCACCAGAAGCTGGAGCCGTAGACATCAAAAGCTCAAGGGAGCAGCACTGCTAGCTGTTGACAGGAATGACTGGCCAGCCCCACCAGCAGAGGTCCAAAATTCAGCATGTATGTACTCAGCTTTCTTTCCCAATACTTCTAAATGTGAGTTACTCAAGCTGCCATATTGCTTCAACATGCTTTGTATCCTTATCAGGCAAAAAACCATTTCTACAACTATAAAGTATTTGATAACTTCTCTTATGTTCACTGGTGTTTCGGAGTGTAAACTCATCAGTAATTCTCAGCAGCAACTATAATACTGGAAAAAACAGTACTTCAGTTTGAAAAAATTATTTCTTCAGATCACAGCTGGTCAAAGAGAATGATAACAGAGTGATGCCAATTCAAGGTAATTCGTAATTAAAGATTTATTACTGAATCAAAGCAAGGAGAAGAGGAACAAGATGGCATATCCTCTCCTTTTCTGCTCCTCCACATATTTAAAAAAACAGGGAAATTAACTAAAAATAAGAGTTACCAAGAGGATTCACTTGACCAATATACACCAGCAGTGTTTACAGAATACAATTCACTCCAGTAAAATTTTACAAGATTTTATCAATTCTCTTTGTAATATAAAGCAAGCTCTGCATAAAAATTAATCTGGCTCACTCCAGCTAAATAAGGAAAACACTGTCTAAAACACAGAACCGAGAAACAGTGAAGAGAAATCCTAGATCAAGTACTATAAATCACTGTATGACCTCAAAGAATACATGAATATGCTTGGAATAGTTCTCTGAGGGTAAAACTCTCACAATCGCCACATTTTGCAAATATAGATGCTTTCTGACTAGTGAATCTTTCACAAAGGTGTCAGATACCACTGACACCATTCCCACAGCATGGGACAAATGAAAACAGGCATGTATGACACATTAATGCCTGACATCACACCATGCTATAATATATGCATTGTAAATCATTTGCTGTTGAAATGCATTCTCACCATGTGCCTCACTGCACCCAATAACATCTTTTGTTCGGGTTATTTTTTCTGTCACATTTATTACTCACTGTCTTTCTGAGGAGAGAAATGTGACTTAAAAATATAAACTTTTTGCTCAGAATTTAAAGACAAAGAAAGATGAAGAGGCATTTCCCTTGACACTCCCAGGCTTTGTAAAAACTCTGCATTATTTTGAAACTACCAGCATCAACTGCCCTCAACAAAAAAACTGGTTCTCTGTAACTTGGCATTTCTTGTTACGTATCTTCTCAGCTAGAATCTGAACTGATTTAAGAAGATGTCCTTTTTTTGGTTTAAATAAGCACTGGATTTCTGTCCATCCAGCAAGCAGATTCTACTTTTTCTTAAAAATCAATCTTTTATTTCCCCCTGTTGTTGCCTGTAGGCAACAATATTTGTTAAGAACCACTGAGATCTGTCTCATTGACAAAATGGCTGTAACTGCAATATGCAAATAGCAGAATGGAGATGGCAACAGACTCAGTGATACCAACTCCATAAAAGAGTCAAATATGAGATAGAGATATAAGGTCAGTTTTGACTTTCCCTTCTCTGTGCTCCTATTACTTAATATATAAAATGCACTTAAAAGATATGTTTGCCTATCAAGCATCAGGAGTAACTGAAGTCACCCATCATGTGTGAAGGACATGTGAAGCCAGTTACACACTTTTAATTATTTCACTTGTCTCTGTTTGTGAAGAGCAAAAATAAGGCATACATCTTTCCCCTAGCAGTCTGAAAAGAAAAAAAATTACCTGAATACAGTATATGCTCCTGGAAATCCCTTATTGTTTCTCTGTCACTGAAACATACGTATTTGTACAGCAAAAATTTCTGAAAATAATTATTTCCAACCTGCAACTAAAAGAGCTGAAGCATCTGGCTGAAATGGAAAAAAAAATACTCAAGCTAAAAGCAGCTACATAAGAGTAACCACAAAGGGGCCACACTTATTTATCTAAAGCTGGGGCATCCAGGCTACCGACCTTGAGATGTGTCAGCTCCCAGGCTCTTCCAGGGCAAGTTGGGATACTGTTGCCCACACTACCAGAGAAGAATATTTGTTTTCAGTCATCCTCTTTACCTTCTGCTGAAGGGACTTAGACTATGCTGCTTCTTCACTGTGCTTTGTTTTATAGACTGATATCATGTTTGTAGAGACAGGAGTTAAAAAAAAAAAAAATCACAGAGAGCAAGCATGAAAGGGATCAATAAAATACACACATTCTTCAACAGCTCTTTCTCTTGGAAGAAATTCCAAAGTACTCTAAGCTAAAGAGAACCGAGGTAATATTAAATTGTTGCACCACACAAGACAACATTCAAATGGAGTAAGAACTAAGTTTAGAACAGATTTGCTTCCTCAAAATCACAAGCAAGAAAATTAAAATATGCATAAGGCATATGTTATAATCCTACAGGCCTTAAGAAAACAGATGAATGGATATTACTGAATTAATAAAGCCAGTGCACTAACTGCAGAATGTTATGTAAAACAAAAGCCCACAAAACAACCAGTTAAAGTGGGATGGGGGATAGGGGAGTGTGTGTGTGTGTGGGGGGGGCATTTCTTGTCAGCAGGTAAAGTATTAGCCATTCAGCTCTCCAGTATACTAGACAATAAATACCGCATGGTTTACATAGAACTAGGAATTATAATATATTTTCAAAAAGATTACATGAATTTCTAACAATTTGTTCCTACTACAAGAACTATTTAACCAGTTTGTTAATTCTTGTTATTAATGTAGCTTTAAACAGAAAACAACTATGATCCAGGAAACTACCTTTTTAAGATTAAACAGGATCACAAGTGCATTACTAAGGTGCTACAATTAGCAACTCCAGTGACTAGCTCAGACTAGACCAGCATAGCAGAGCATACAATTTACACAAAAGAGAGACAGATGGAATGTCAAGAGTCTGACCGGTCTAATGAATTTTGTATGAGCAGACTTAGCAAGCAGGAAAAGTAAAAGCAAATGGTGGGAAAGAAGGCCACTTAACTCTAGCATCCCTTTGCCAAGCAGTACTAGATGGAAGTGTTTAACAGAGGATAACTTCTCTGAAATATTTGGTCTTTCATATGAACAATGGGACTTCCTTGCTAGATGGAATCAGAGATGGAACACTCATTCTGTCAGTAAAATGATGCTCCTGGCCAGTATAGAGGGGGTTGTTTTTGTTACTCATCAAAAGATGAGATAGTGAGATACATGTAAAGAAGCTGACATAGTTTTTATTCTTTAGTTAGTAAGTTTTCCTAGTAATTGCATTTCTATTTATCTGTAATTTTTATCTTCATTTTTTCATCAACCAATACCTAAGTTTCATTTTGAAAGTCCTCTCCAGTTTCAGATTAGCCTACCTGGAAAAAAAAAAAACAACAAATAACCTGACTTGCAAAAAAAAAACTAAACTGCCTTTCAAAAACAATAGATAGGAAACAAAATCAACAAAACAGAGTATTTAAAGTATTGAAGATTTCACTGCATAAATACTTATTTTTGTCTTTGAAAACCAAAGTGCTAATGGGACTAAAGGTCTGCATTGGTTTTGTGTCAGATAAGAAATTCATATTGGGTAGTGTTCTCTATTGTCAGGTCTCAAAATACAGTTCTGTGACATTATTTTGAAACTACCAATGTAAACAACCATACTCAGTCCTTTGAGACTCAAAACAGTTATTCAAATAAATACACTTTAAAAATAAGACCTACTCAAAGATATCAAGAAAAACATGTTTAATCAATGCAATTTAGTTATCTGAGTTTTTTAACAGAAGCACTTTAAACTGCTACTTCTTTGTCTTAACTTGATACAATCTGCAGCAGATATTTAGATATTTGTTGAGAGGATGCATCATTCACTTATACTATCACACTGCTAAAGGTCACTTACTCTGGCTCAGGAAAGTTACATATACAAAGGCCTTAAAGTTGTCTCCCTACTCCTCTAATGCTCCTTCCCTCACCAAAATGCTACCTAAGAACAAGTATTTAAGTAATGCAAGTATGGAATAATAATTACTA